TGATACAGACAATTTATTGCAAAATTGTTGTTATAAATACTATAAATTAAATATTCTACTAGATGAACACTGTAATTGATACAGCCTATGATCCAAATACTATACTATAAGTGACATCGTGGAGTAACTTGGAATAGTCAAGCTCGCTATAAAGTTCTAACTGGTGGCGTCGTGGTGGGCAAACGAGCCAAAAATATGGTGAGTGCAATGATGGCTAGCACATCCGTAATATACGTAAACGGGTGCTGCTTGTGAGGGTTGATCTGTTTAAGTTACGGTTTTTTAGATATTAAAGACCTCATATTTAATATTTAGTTTATCAATGTCGGTAACATCTAATACATCTTAATTCTTATTAATCTTAATTCGAATTTAAGATTATTGTATCCTTAGTTAATTAAAATATATTTACTGTACATTAAAGTGTTACAAACAAACAAAACATCTAAATAACAATAGATTGAACATTATTTTTATTAATTTACATTATTTTAATGACAAAATCCAATATATTCCAATTACAATTTCACCTCTTTGAAGTCAGTTGAAAACAACATCTGTGAATTAATTACCGCAAGTAATTAAGCGCTTTCCATTAATTGGCTGGTTAGTTTTGGAATGTATACAAATATACAACGCCTAATATATAGATACGTACAAATTAGCGAATTGGAAACCCCTGTCTGATTTATATCTGTCCAGTTGTATACTAATCTGTAAATAATAACTTGTAACGAAATAAGTCATAAAGAAAAGAAATAGGCAATAGTAAAATTTTATAATAGGTATACGCAATACCATGTCCTAAATCCGAATCATCTATGCTGTAGAACCCTTATATCATTACCAGCAGTAAAAATCGCATTAACTGGACAAATAGCGATAAAGCACGTAATTTAGATAGGGGAATGGATACAAATGTAAATAAATCTCCCGCCAGCAATAAATAACAGTGACCATGGAACGACAGCTGGTGCTATGAGAACAGTCTTAATTTACTGTTAATTTCAAGACCAGTATTTCAATTTGACTAACGAAATATTATTTATGTTTTGGTGCATCTACCTGGCGATTAAGAAAATGGGATCAAACGACTACATCTGGTAGGTGGGTATCTACATATCGTTTATCTAAATTAACTATTAATAAACACGTTTAAACGTTTTAATGACGTTCAGTTCAAACTGAACGAGATCAGTTTCTTTGGTGAAATCCGACCTAAGAAATCCATTAAGAAAACTTGAAATAAAAAAGTATTATATGAATAATATCCATAAAACTAGCTGTTTTTTTTTTAAACAAAAAAGACCCCATGTCATCTTCGTGATACATTCTACCTTCACGTCAAACTTCTTTAAGATCTTATCAGCCGTTTAGATGTAAAAAGTCACGAAAAGAAAAACAGACGCATTCTTGCCTTTATAATATAATTAGTCTGGATGGATAAGTCGGTATATATAATATATGAGGTAGGCATTTTATCTGCGAGTAATATTTTAAATTACTAGAACTATACGAGGGTGTTGGCTATCAAAGGTAACAAATAGCGAAGACTAGGGAACGCAATTTAACTTCAATCATAGCTAACCTTATAAGACTTGTTACTAAATACATTTTTGCGTGAAAGCCGAATGGAAAAGTCGGATACAACACATTATTATAATTTGACGACTACTAAAAATGACCAGGCCAAGGTTAGCGCTATTAAAGGAATTTTCGATGATTTTTCCGATGAGGTGGCATATGAACGGATTGGAAGATATATCTGTTAAGGTCTTTACTAATTAAGATAAATAAATGAGACACTGTGAACTGTAAAGCTGTTGTACTGAGTAATTGTAGTTACAATATTGGCCTTTAGAAAATTATAGATATAAATAAAACGAGCCGTAAATCCACGCCAGCTTTACAATCGTTCGCAAAAGCCGTTACATTGTTTCTATATATGACCTTTATGAGCGTCTTCTTTTCTAGACCGTGAATAAAATTGTGTCGTGTTTCATATTGTTAACTGGTCATCGGCACCATCTACACATTGCCTGGCAATGGTAATCGACTTATATATTCCACTTACGAGTTTCTCAAAGAGGATCAACATACATATATCTACAGCTAACTAACTATTGTCAACATACAACATTCTAACGATATTGTGTATATCGCAAGTACGTAAGTAATTCGTGCTCGTCGCCGCATCCAATTTTGCATTTTGCATTATCTTTGTTGTTGCAGTCTTGCATCGTCTTCAATTTCTAGAGCATGAAACTAATATACTTTGAATTTTGTCAAAATATACAAATAATCAAAAATGAATCTCTAAGATATAATGAATAATTGAAAAAGTATTTTTTGTGCCTCTTACTGAAAAAACTAATGCATAGCAATAATAATAAACGGTGGTCTTTTATAAGTTTACATTTAGGAAATTATTTATCGTTTAATTCTTCTGTCTGAAAATGCACTTGCTATAATTATTATTTACTATAAAATCCATAAAAAAAGTAATATATCCATTTTAAAAATAATAATAAACATCGATAGGTCGCGTTAAATTATTATTTTAAACTCAACATTAAATAATTTATACATGAAATAAATATATATATTAGTGATTTACGGACCAATACTTGTTCACAGACAGTTTTACGAAAAATACAGGCATGAAAAGAGTTACTTTTAAATATGTTATTGTATTGCATAGAATATGTTCATTATAAATCAGTGAGCTGAGCAATATGACACCGATAACCAATTGATTTTAAACGAATGAATTACTAGTAGATAAGGTTAAGTTAGTAGTAATTAAGTAAAATACGTTTTTAATACAGTACACGCATTCATATTGGGTATTTGCTGTTAATATATACTGGTTATATTTCCGTTTTATTTAACATTTAATCAACAAAAATAGTAATCTTAAAAAAAATGTGGTCTCAGATCGGAAAGAAATCTAATTTTACGTTACCCATGTAATGTATACCTAATTATTATTTTTTCCATTATTAAGATTAGTTGTCAACCAAAGATTTTCTTCTATATAATAATCATAGATGGGCAAAATAGTTTTAAAAAAGCATTTAAATACAAAATGCAAAATACTTTACATATTTACTATTTCAAATGCAAAATACAAAATAGTTTTGTGTTTTGTATTTCAAATACTAAATGCAAAATAGGTAGGTATTTTCAAAATAAAATACCTTTTGAGTTTTTGACCAAACCTCAGATATTTTTATTTATTTTAGGTATTTAATATGAGATAGAGATACAATGCCGAGTCGAACAAAAACGTCTAATAACATTGCACCTTATGCTCAATATTCGGTCATATTATTAATTAATAGGTAATAATAAAACTCACTTAAAATAATGTTATAAACAAGACTAACGAAAAGAGAGCCATGACTCTATTTTGTAAATGCCATTTATTTTAGTTAAACAGCTGATTCAGATGGCGAATTATTTTCCCACCGAAAATGCACCACAGCCATATAATTGACGCTTCTTAGTTTTAACGCCGCGCAATGTACTTTTACGCAGCGATGTATCGCGTGCGGGTCACGCCAGAACATAGATACAATACCGTACGTACCATTTACATTGCAAAACATTATTAATACGTGAATTACAGAAGGTATTCTGGTTGGGTATGAAGCATTTAACCGCCGGTTTTTTTTTCTCTAATGCTGTGGGCCGCAGCTGGCCTTTACAGCTTCACTATTATACTATAAAGTATTTTGCATTTTTAAATTAATATTAAAAATGCAGTATGGGTAAACCGACTATTTGACCATTTATTTAACCGACTATTTGCATGTTATTTTTTTATCCATGTAAATTTAAGAAAAGTCTACCCTATATTTAGAAATTAATAGAAATAACATGATTTACAGACCAATATTTTTATTGTTTTCTTAATTGAGGTTCTGCGTTCAACGCATAATTAATAATTTGATTCACAAACCAGTATCGCTACATCTTTAGTCAATTTAGTCTCCGAAGTTAAAAAATATACAGAACACTATTCGACGTACCAGAAAAGAACAATCGCTGCCGGCATATTAGACAATGGTGTTGGCGATAACCGGACACTCGGAAATTTACGGGTTCTTGTCTGGAAGCATGTTCTTTGAAATATCCTTATAAAGCTTGTCGTTTTAAATCTTGTTAAGTCACGTTTGTATACTTGAATCCTTTTACCTACACTTTTGAAGTTTGGGAAGTTTGTTTAACTGACAAGACTTACAGCCTATCATGTAACAGGACTAACGTGCAATCATATGGGTATTAAAGTATTAACAGCCTAAGTTTAACTCAGATAGAATCCAGACAGTATGTGCTCAAAACTAACGTATTATTTATTGAACTTCTTATTGCTAACTACAGTATTGAGAGCGTATAAAGTAAATTAATCAAGAATATAAAAAACCATAATGACAAAATAATGGATTTAAAAAAACACATAATAAAAATCCAATAAGGATCATAATTTATTTAGAAAATGATATAATACACTTTACAATTGACCGAGCGTCTGTTAATCTGGTCGGGCCATAGCTTAAATATTGCGAAACTTTGGTATTATTTGCTTATGGCAAATAATTATTTAAATGGAATTAAACAATTAAGAATAGCCAAATGTTCTCGTACCTTGTGGCCCGGCAACATTAACTATTTAATGACCGATGCGTGAAAGCATCCTACACATACACTTTCCATTGGTAATAATACATCTAATATGTACAATGCATATATACAATCTGAAACACAATTTTACTGCCATTTTGCATAAATTAAGACACCTCGTAAACATTTTTATAAATTCATATTGCTTTATATAAGTATTTCATCACAATTTCCTTTGTAACCCAAAATGACAGAAAATATTAGTTGTGTTGATCAACACACTCATCCTTAAAAATTACAAAATTTACGTTTTATTAATAAATTATGTATTATTACAATTCAATGCAGGGATTTTATAAATAAATGCATTGATATTTTCGTCTTTGTGATATGAATGTTAATCACGAATCTCGCAACCAAATACTAATATAGTAAGATCGTTTAGGTCACAAGATTTATTCTATTGCACTTCATGAAAACTTATTTATTGACAGTTATGTTTCTTTTTAAATTATCACTAAGCAATGACATACACACGGAAAGAGGCGGCCGTTCGACGCCTGTTATCGTCAATAAATAAAAATAATAATAAATACACTGGAATTTTTGACGAACTCACGAGCAGGCTTGATGCAAAATATTACAATAAACTCAAACGTTACAGTAATAAACTTAATTTGAATGAGAAATAATAATATAAGGATAATTGCATGCAAATATAGTTATATCGATGTGTGCAAAACTTGATTGGTAACGTGGTATTATATTATTCACAATGGATAGAAATAAGCTCTGATATGGGATTTATGTACGAGCAAATGGATTATAACCTAATCAAGAATTATGGAACTTGTGCAATAAATTACGTTCGTGTATATTAAGCTTTTTGAATTTAATAATTAATACATTGGAACCCTATTTAGTAATTTATAATCCAGAATATAAATAGACGCGAACAAAAAAATACTAAAAAACATACCAGTCAATAATCCAGAACTACAAAATGTGTGTAATAAATTATATTCGAGTATATCAAGTGTCTTGAATTCATAATTCACACCAGGCAGTCCTATTCAATTTAATCTACACCCAAAATATGAACTACAAAAAATCTAAAAGCATACCAGTCAATATAAAATACTGACTTTAACAATGCGATTGTGAGTGCAAGAGTTGGAATTACTATTTGATAATACTGGAAAACTTTTGTTTGTTTGCAATTTTCTTTATTAGTGATTAAACAATACAACGAATACAAGTAAGTGTTATAAAACTTATCGTGATGTACCAGTCTATAAAATAAGCGAGAAAAACAGTAAGTACATAAATTAAAGTATTTCAAATAAAATTAATTTTATATCCTTTTGGAGTGCAAACTACTATAAACACTGAAATAGTTTACTTCACATTTAATGTACAGTGATTTTTATGGTTATGTCATTAATGTAACATTTTGCATACATATAAATCCACCTTGAATTACAAAGTATGAAATAATTTAAAATTGTAACTGTAATTAGATAACAGTTTAACTTTTACAAATTAAATGTTTTTAAAATATTATTACCATTTACAATAGTACATTCGTATAAAAATCTACATTTGTTTCAACATCTAATTAGTATGAAGAACATAATAATCTATTGAAAAAGCTCAAAAGATTTTCAATTAATTTTTACCACACAACTTGACTAGATATAAAACAAATGATATTATAACCCACAATCTGTAAACTAATTTACAATTACAGTTACTATTTATTTTATACAATAAAACCACCATACCAACCATAGTTAATAAAATGATTTTTAAAAGTAGTTATCCTTATAAAAATCGCAATATTCTTTAAACATAGACATTTTTTTTTAAATCCATAAATAAAAAGGCTAATCCATACACATTATTTAACAGGTAACCGTGTAGATTTATTATCCAAACAGGATTCATTTCTATTTCTGGAACACTCATGATTAAAATAGTTGGCACTCCAATATCAACGAAACAATTCGACATTTAATTCTCATAAAGGCGCATAAACAAGTAGCACATAATTCCATTTCCAAAATATTTTTATACCCCTTCATCTTAGCAAAGTAAAACCTTCCTTCTCACAACTAGAAAATGAACGTACTGTATGTGTTACTACTATTAGGCGGATCATAAGCTTATCTATTTGTCAATTTTTGTGAAAAAAATACGCGTGCCATTTTATACGTACTAGTGGTCGAATTTCGACCATAATTAATTTAACATTCAGTAAAACTGAAGACAAATAATTTTAAAGACAAACAATACTAATCTATTCTCAATTTGACCACAGACTAACAATAAACAAAAGTGTATTTGCGTGTGTGTGTCAAATAATGGTAGTTTGTGTAATGTTTTTCTTATGTATAATTAAAAAATATATTTATACATACATCCTTGAGCGTTTATAAAATAAGGTAGCATTGCGCACCCTGCTAATCATTATAATTGTAAACAAATTTACAATATTCAGCTCAAATTCTACCACTATTATTTAATATTTTAATTTCTCCTAATATTATATTACTTAATATCAATTTTCTAGTTTTCAGATAAACTCAGACAATTTTGTGATCAAGTTAAAATAATGTAATAACTTCTAAATCTTTTTTTTTTTTAATTATTTCGTCTTTTTTTCAGTAATACGTTGCAAGACTCGCGGTATAGTTTATTACAGGTAACACATATGCTGAGCCAAATTCTTCATACCAACACTGGACACGAAAAGAACTAGTGAGTACATTCCACACCAATTCATCGCGGTAGCATCATCACTCACCAAATAGTAGACGGATAATGAATGCCACATTAGGGGCCATTTATAAATTACGTCATACGAATTTCATGTTTTTAATCGTGCTAGTCTCATCTGGTCGCATTTGTGACACACCATATTTAAATATTATGAAAATATTATTCAAGTTTCCTTTGAATATAGTTCGAATTTCGTGTTTTATACTTATTCTATTAGATTAGGAAATAAGACGTCATGAAATTTAGGACCCATGCCACATCTAATAACACAATAACAATATTTCTTTTAACGTGCGACGTAATTAAAATATTAATGGCCCCTTATGCCTCGAAGTTTTTGGCACCAACCATCGCCACCGTGTTGATAGCAGATTTTGGCATAGCAAATTTGACAACGTGTAACAACAAAAAATTTACTTCATTTGTATTAAATTAACTCCGATTTTTAGCTATAAAAAACTACTGATTACTAATTTAAAAATGGAATCGTATACCACTTGTGTACATAAGCACTGGTTCTATTAGTTGTTGAAGTTGTGACCGCCACACATTCCTGTACCGAGACTGATATTCCTGACTCCAATAACTACTAACAGATGTCTCTGATCATCTTCACTAGCTATGTTTGGCGTTGCTATATAAAGCATTTGTAAATGTCTTCATGTTGACTGAGGCACTGTTACCATTCTTTTCGAGGCCCACCACGAAGTCTTCTAATAATTTAGCGAGAGCCTTCCGTTTAAACCTTAACGATTCATTTATAATGTCCCGTATCACCTCCTTCTTAATATCTACACTACCTTTTAATTGCTTTAAATTTTCGAACAGTTTCGAGAAATCTGTAATGAAGAAATAATAATTGTATTATATGATGTCATTTTAATAAGAAACATTTTGATATTAACAAGATACGTAATCTCGTAATTAAAACTAGAATAAATATGCAAGTGTTGGTACGACATGATGTTGATTTATTGAAAAAAAAATGAAATTAAGATAGGTGTCACTTGAAACAAAGAAGAATTTGTGATCAGGAAATCTAATATCACAAATATTTTTACTAGTTAACTATTCGGTTATAGACTTATCGAGATTGCGAGATTGTACGTTTTGTGATTTTGATATGTGTGTGGCACACATACACTTATTTATTGTATTTATATATTCTATGTATCAACATCCACGCTATACATTTACACACAATATTATAATTAATTGTATTTATTTTAAAATTGTATAGATTTAAAGAAACAATATCGCTATATGTGTGTCACGTCTGTTTTGTATATACGCCCTTAATATAGACAAAACTACTACGTTCATACGAAAAGAAATGTACAGAAATTTTGAAGTGATTCAATGTAATACATATGGTACTCGCCTCTGCCTGGACGTCGGACTGCGCGATATACTTCTGCTCGTACGTCCATATTATGCTTTTTGATATCCGCCAGCTCCTTTCGGGAAAGTTGGGCGACCAATGGCGGTGCTGTCGGCTTGTCGCTCTAGTAATAGAACAAACTTAATTAACAACTGTAATGTTTGAATTTATAAAATCTTTAATTATTAATAATAATTATGCAGCACAATTTACACAGCGCGATCTATTACCAAACTAAGCAGATATGAATAGAACTAGGTAAATTACATATACTGAAGTTTCCAAATATGAAGCTGTCACCGCATACCTTCCGTTTCCGCTTCTTCGGTCTCGGGTATGCATTCTCCGCGGCTATGCCTTGCAGAATGGCGTTTATCTGCAACTCCTGCGAATCCTGATCAGGCGGGGACGGAGACCGTGACACCTTGCTCCCCATCGTAGTGTAAGCGTCTGTCACAAAAAAAAAGCTTTGCTCAAATCCTAACCTATAAATTTTGCCTCATGTCGAAGCATTATTTACTTTCTTTTCAGAAGACGAAATAGTTTTTATTATTTAATTTCATTAATTACTTATAGTAACATTAGCTGTTAATATCATTAGCGTATTGCGAGTACATTAATAAATGTCGTCGCCATACTTAAAATGACATATTGCAACAAACATATCGTTAATAAACGCGTACTTACCTCCATTCAGGAATGGTTTGATAACAGGCGGTAGGTTCGTAGGCGCCGCGACCACAGGTGGTGGCGGTGGCGGCGCTCCGCTTGACTCTACATTAGGCGGCTCCTGCAGAACACGCATGTTTACGATAAAATAAACAAGATTAAAAAATATTTCAATCCAATGCGCTGGGGTGAACTAGCGCATACCACTATCTCATACTACTATACTAATTTTCTTTGTTATCAAACATTTAAAAGAGACAGAAACTTCAAAATTAGTGCAACATTTATTACGGCCCAAAATTCACGACCATTGTGGAGTTTTTACGTCGATATCTATTGTTTCTAATTCTTAGTAGTTATTATAAAATCCAAAGGCTTAGACAGAAATTAACTATTTATTCCAACAATGTCTATTGCATGGCAATCTGTATTTATAATAATAATTATCAGACAATTTTAAAGGTCTCAATACACGTTCTTTATTTAGAAACCGTGTAAGTTCATGGGTTCTTGAAAAGTGTTATTATTCAAGTAATGAATAATAAGAAATGGCTGCTAGTAATGAGATTGTGATGTATTTCAAAATGATATCAATTTTATCGTTTAGAATAGTTATATTGAGAATTATATTATGACTATAATACATAATGATTAATGTTCAGAATTTATAATGTATTTTTTATGCTTTGATTACTGAAATGAATATTCGTACGCTGGTAACAGCAGAATGCGATGAAAACCTTTTTATATAATTGTGGAATACGTATGTCCAATGGTACCATACCATAGTCTGAAAAATAAATAAACTACTATTAAAGTTTGACATACCTCAGGCGGGCGACCAGAAGGCAGGTCCGACGGAACGGGGGCGAGGGGCGACGCCGGCCGCCGCAAGGACACCGGCGACAGCGGCGCCAGCGGCGCCGGCGGCGGCGGCGCGGGCGCGGGCGGCGGCGTCGGCGGACTGTGCGGCGCCGGCGGCAGCGGCGACGGGGGCGCCGGCGAAGACGGACGCCGCGCCACCACGTGCTGCGGCAGCGGACCGGCCTTGCGTTTCGGCGGCGCCGCTCGAGGACTTTCAGCGCCACGCTTGCCGCCCGCGCCTACACCGCCGCCGCCACTGCGCACCGCGCCTACGGGATCCACGTCCGCTTCGTCGACCATCATTCGCTGTGAATATAATTTAAATTAAGTTTATATATGTCACTGTTTACAAAATTATTCATATTTTTATTTAAAACCACTGTCCAGATTCAGTTATTGGTAGAATTTGTAATTATCACATTCTTAGTTTTCGACACTATTATTACTTGCTCTAATTACTATTACATATGGCACTGTGTTGTGTGCAACCAAAAAGACATATTATCTCTATGTAATTTTAAGAAATATTGAAATTTTACTAGCTTGAATCAGTGAGCTGATCATTAATAAATTATAATATTAGTAGTAGTACATTAATATGTTTCTTTTCTTATACTTAATATACCCATACGTTTACCCTGGAACATGTCTTTACTCATTTTAATACACTTCTCCTTCACAGTTATGATAACGATACTGTTGAGACCAACCTTATCAATCTTAAATGGGTTTCCGAACATGTGCTGTCGCACTGGCTGGGACTCAATCTCGCGCAACTGCGGCGTCATCCGCTTGAGATACTCCTGGTAGTTGCCCATCTGCGCGACCGGCATCGAGTGCACGCTATCCTCGTCCACAAGCCGTGTGTGCGCCAGCGACGGCTGCAGGAAATTCGCACGCATGCGTACTACCTGTAATAAAATATGGCAAAATGTACATCATGTAAACCTTTTAACCCACATGTGGGCTAATAACACAATTGCTAAAAACATACTATGTCACCACCAACATACCATCAAGTGGTTCCTAATCGTGATAAATTCATGGTAAATTTACCATGATAAGCTTATTGACCTGATCTAATGCTAATCTTATCATCTTCCACTAGTGCCCCACCAGAGTAAACCATTAGCGCAGGCGGGTACACCATTCCATTATCATCCATAAGAACACCCATCAACAACTATATATCAAGAGAGCTCTCTCTCTATCATGTAGCTACATGATACTTGTATAAATCTGCTATATGTGCATTGTCACTTATTGTAACATTTTCTCATAAACAAAAACTTTATAGAGTATTACTTTATGGTAAAAAGAAGAATAAAGAAGAGACATCATAAAGTATTTTTTTTATTAAAGGACTATTCAGACTAAAATTATTTCATTTTGAAGTTTGTTGAAAATAATTTACTGTATACAATTCCTAATTAAATTATTTAAAAAAGGTTATAATCATACATCTTATTTACCTGGTCTAATAGATCCCTCCTCTGAATGTCAAAGGGATTTCGATATGTATGCGCCTGTGTCTTGTGGCGGCCGCGCGACAGGCCCACGACGAAACCACCAAACTCGTTAAGTTGATCACGCAGTGCTAAGAACTTGTCCTGCAGGCACGGGTGCGTTGTTAGCTCCTTCTTCAGAGGAGAACGAGGCATCACACGCACGCTTTCCGCTATCTATAAAGATTAAAATAATAAGTGTCATTAATTAATTCAATTTATGACAACACTAGGTTTTAGCCACGACTTTGCCTGCTTTTTTAAAGTAAAACACATACTCTTGGGCGATTAATGTACATACTGTCGCACTTACAATATTAGTATGAAAATTTGGATAAGCATAAATTTATTTTAATAAGTATTATATATATAAACCTTCTTCTAGAATCATAAAAAAACCGCTTCAAAATCCGTTGCGTAGTTTAATATAGGGACAGACAGCGAAAGCGACTTTATTTTATGCTATGTAATGAAGTGATAAAAATCGTTTATATATATGACGATCTTTCCATAGTAACGCTTCTCATATGTGGCCATGCCAGAGAATTAAGGTGTCTATATCATCTTTTAAATTAGACAAAGTTCTCGAAATGAAAATGTTTGGTGGTAGATATTAAATCCTACTAAGATTACGTCAATTTCACATTTTGTTGATATTCTCTTTTTATAATTTAATAATAATGTAAATCAACACAGTTGTCTCATATCATGGTGCAATAACTTAACATATGAGACAATTGTGTTTAAAAAGTGATTGATTATGATTCTGCTAGGTCATAACCCATTATGCTCTAGCATAGTTTTTACCTAGTACGCAAAACTTCGCAAAAAAATAATAAAACAAAATTACCTTCTGATTATTACTACTAGAAGCTTTATTGATGACATCAGCACACAGCTTATCAAATTCAATCTTAGCTTGATTTTTCAGTCTTTTCAAATAGTTCAATACAGAAAAGCTGAGCGAGTTGTCTTGCATATCAGGAATCAAACTCTGCAGTAGCGGTGTTGAGGCACCCATCTTTGTGAGGGCTCTACGTAAAGGCTGAAATTATATATTAAAAAATATATTTTATGTAATCTCAGAATATTGACAGATTATTCATTTGATTTACACATCAAAAACAATAATATTCTTGTATACTGCTAACATAAATTATAGAGACTTCAGTAATTGCAGAAACATATATGATTCTCACTTTGTTGTAATGTAAAAACGATATATATAATAATATTTTTTCATTGTTCATATCTGAATAAAATATGAATACTTAAATATGTTAAATAATTTATAAGATACAAATGTAACAAATTTGCTTTATAAATTGTCATTTTTAAATTGAATGAGATTATAAAATATTAATATTCGATAATTATACTTTATAGTTAGGTACATGTTAATAAGTCTAAATAAAATTTTAAAAAATGACAGGTAATAAGATCTATAGAAAGAACACAACTTACTGCAACATAATATGAAGGCATCCTGTCTAAATATTGCTGAAACGCTTGTTTCCATTCTGGAGTGGGCTTGCAACGATGCTGTTTAAACAGGTCGTCAAGTAGAGGTAGTAATACTGGATAATTGTACGGCAACACAAATAGATTGACACAAGTTAAGTTTGTCGATGCTTTTAAATAGCCAAATGGATGACTGACTTCTGAATTCTTACAGCCACTATTCGCAACGAACACCTGTAAGCGGTTTACAAGAACATATTATTATAATATTTAACATATCTACACTTACAAATCGCTACTCATAGTATTAAGCATTAAAGAATTATTATAAATTAAGTATCTAAATTATTATATTTAGACATAGTAATCTAATGATAGACAAGCTGACCGACCAAACGAACACAGATCAATAAATATCATCTATGACGCCCGTGATACCCCTCGTGCGTTGCCATTTCATAGGACTAAGATATTATAAATTCATACGAGTTTACAATTTAATGCATATTCACTCAAACTTCAATAGTGTCCGTTCAATATATAAAAGCAATGCAACTTCAATTTTACAGCATTAAGCATTACACACTTATTGTAAACAACATTGGATTTATTTTACTAGTTTATATAATTTAAACAACTTATATATAAGTAAAACAAATGCAATTATGAAAAACAAAAGGAAAGTTAATTTGTATAATTTATTCATATGTTTAAGATGTCAGTATGAAAAATATTTCCTAGAACAATGTATGTACTCATTACAGTCAACATATTAATGCATAATGTACCAACCTGCCAGCATATAGTCGGCTGTTTCCTGGCCAGAATGAATTGCGTCAAAGGGCTAGGTTCCAGTTCATATTTGTCAAAAGGTAAATTGTCAATCACCATGGGCTCTTGACTGGAGCAAGTAAACTTGACTACTGGATGTGCTGAACGTGGTGGCTGAAATATAATTTAGATAAACAAATATAGTTTATGAATACCACAGAGGCACTTCGTGTTATAAATCAGTATCATTATGCATCTGTGGTGATACTTTCCACATTCCCAGGTTAGCTTGTTTCATATCACAAGCTGGTTACCACATAGCTTGTGATATGAAAGTAGGGACATGTTCTAAGGGAGATATACCCCTCATCTATATTATTCGATAATAACAACGTTTATATGTTAGATAATATGTAGATTTAGAAATCGTATATAGGTTGAAGCGCCAAATCCTTGGCCTAATGTGTCCAATGAAATACACGTAATATTTTTGTTTTATTATCTTGCCTCATTTGTTAATCATCAAAGTCGACAAAATATTAGACAAAGAATTTAAAAACACACAATGATTAAAAAGCGATAATGAATGGTTCATAAAAATATATGCGTAATAAATATGCGTTTAAGTGTAGCGATTGTTATTAAAGCATTTTATCACTATTTATGCACAAACACAAATTAAAAAATATATAAATATGAAAATATATACGCAATTTTATTTCTGAATCTACAATAATATTCCTAAATATCAGTAGCGTTATCATTTACGCAATGTGAACTAATAAATGATACCTCAACAAGAACGGTACAAGTTATAATTTCGTAATACAAGTGATTTACATTATTTTATTTGATATTTCTCACAAGTTTAATGGCTTCATACAAAATGAATGTACATGTTGGCGATAGTGGTAATGTCCAAAGTTTATTTCTTATATTGCAAAATTGTTTTTTTTACTTCTTACTTCATGCTGTTTTAACATAGTCCTGATTAAAGAATTTGGACCGACAAATACGGTTTATAAGTCAACAATACAATACATTAACTAAGAAGTAAAAGTTAAACGAGGATAAATCTCTCTCTCTTACGACGAGAAGTATTTTAGACTATAAGTTTATAATTTTAATTACAATCTAATCACTTCTACGCTGAATCAAAATAGAATTTATTTTTTAAACATCAATATTGGGACTCAATTTTTATATCAAACAAAAAGAATGGGACGCAATGTTTGTCTATAAAAACAACATATTTAAGAAATTCGCACCTTTCGTGCAGTACATTAGATTCTTTTTAAATTCACCTTAATTATATTACGGTGGAATTACACTATTCCATCAATATTATACTCTGCAGCCATGCCAAGTCGACTGGCGAAACATCGAAGTGCTGAGATGTCTCTATAACGCTGAAACAATGACCGTCCAAGTACAAAAGCAGCAGACTAAGCATATCCACCTGAAACGTGGTGTAAGACAGGGGGATGTTATATCCCCGAAGTTGTTTACAACTGCGTTGGAGGATATGTTTAGAATGCTGGACTGGAAAAATTACGGCATTAATGTTAACGGCGAGAACATCTCTCACTTACGATTTGCTGACGACATTATCATGGCTGAATCGCTGCAGGACTTACAGCAGATGCTGAATGGCCTGGCTGAGTCGTCTCAACGCATCGGTCTTCGGATGAATTTGGACAAAACCAAGATCATGTTCAATGATCGCATTCGTCCGGAACCGGTTGCCATTAATGGAGTTCCTCTCGAAGTTGTTCAGGAGTATATTTATCTAGGGCAAACACTCCATTTAGGTAGAAACAACTTTGAGAGGGAGGCCAAGAGGCGAATACAGCTAGGCTGGGCGGCTTTTGGGAAACTTCGTCAAGTCTTTTCGTCGTCGCTACCACAAAGCCTTAAGACCAAGGTTTATAACCAGTGCGTCCTACCCGTTATGACTTACGGTGCCGAAACGTGGACACTGACGATACGACTGGTCCACCAACTCAAAGTCGCTCAACGAGCTATGGAAAGGGCTATGCTTGGAGTTTCTCTGAGGGATCAAATCCGTAACGAAATAATTCGCCAGAGAACTAGGGTCACCGAAATAGCTCTTCGTATTTGCAAGTTGAAGTGGCAGTGGGCTGGTCATATCTGTCGTAGAACCGATGCTCGCTGGAGTAGGCGTATTGTAGAGTGGAGACCGCGAATTGGCAAACGTAGTGTAGGACGCCCCGCAGGACGCTCCACCTAGCGGAGCGACGACATACGTAGGATTGCGGGTAGTAACTGGAAGAGAAGGGCTGAAGATCGTGCTCAGTGGCGTGCCTTGGGAGAGGCCTATGTCCAGCAGTGGACTGCAGTGGGCTGATGATGATGATGATGATCAATATTATGAGATTGGTAGAATTGTGCCGTTTCTACCGTAGTTTAGAAGTGTCTAAAAACATTTTGCTTTTCTATTTTATTGTAACAACAAAATTATACAATATCGTGCCAGTACATCCATAATTATAAAAGTTACTGTTAATTGTAAAAATTACAGAGTTAGTGTAAAAGTCTGAATTATTTTATTAGAAATCAATCAAACCAAGCTCAACTTTTTTTATGACATCATTGATACAACCACTAATATGGAAATAAATACATAAAAACTAAAACCTATTTTGTTGTGGTTAACAACAAAATAATTATAACTAAATAGTTACACATTCTTTATCAAATTAAGAAGGTATTTAAAAACAAAATGTTTATATAATAACACCGTTTTCCCATTTTCTTTAGGTAGAATTTATTAGGTATTTGTCGTTTTTATTTATGTATGTGAAATATACATTATTATATAGATAATTGAGACAAGTAGATTTTAAGTAATCAACAAAACCGGGACAAAACAAATTGCATACAGTTTTCTAAGTTCGTAATATAAACAATATAGTATCCAGTGCTATCATCTTATTATTTGATTACAGTACAATAAGGTGAGTCATATCACGATAAAAATTATATGAAAAACTAAATACTTAGGGTATTTCTTTCTTTGTACAGTTCGATAACAAAGTAAACAATGGTCGATGTCACTTTTCCTTCTTTTTTTTATTTTGATATGAATCTATTATTATTACAGTAGTATTTTAAATCTTAAAAACACACTTAATAAAATGCAAAATTCATTGTAATATAAAATTTTATAATATGGGGTTTTATAATAAAATTTTATAATAATAAATACTTTAATAATTGGATGACTGCGAAATGTTGTGGTTATCACAAACAAAATGGTTCAGTGAAAAAAGCTTATTTCTTTTTATTACTTTATTAGAAACGTCACTCACCAGTGTAGGAGCATTGGGATCCGGTCGAAAAGACTCCGGTATGGGCCAAAACCCTACAGCGAAGCCCTTCTGTGCAACTGTCCTTGGTACGTAAATAAGGCGACGACACGAGTGCCATGCTTGAGGCGCACTCGAACCCTGGTTGGGGGTAAGGCCCGTTTGATACGGACCACCATTCCAACGCTGTAGAAAAATACTATTGTTAAAATAAACTCTTATTGATTAAAGTGTTCTAAGTAGTCACTTACTCTTAAATCTGATACATTAATTTGCCTATCGATTGAGAACGTCGCCTTTGTTACCTTACGCCCTAAAAGTAATGAGATCAGTCACCAAAAACGTGGGATGTCACTTCAAAATTCTGTTTGATTCTCTGGTTATGAAAAATGCTAGGCCTAGCCTACTACTTGGTAAAAAAAATTGTATTCACAAAATCTACTGTTAATGCTTTTAACTAATCCGAGATCACAATAATGGGGTTATGTAAGTCTGTATGTGTTTACGCAGCGCTCGATATCACATCTCGATTTGTTGTGTGGACTTCGATTGTCAGCATATCGTAGATCACAGGAGGAAATCGGCAAGACATTATAAGTATAGTTTCGATATCTGCTACTTAATACCAATAATAAAAAAAGGATTGCTGTACACTCACCCCGTTCCTATCACCGTCACATTCCATATCCTTGTCTGCATCATGACTGACCTCGTCACTTTGGTCACCACCTTCCCTATTGTTACCACCATCAATGGGCGGTGGGTCGGGTCCTATCTTTTCAAAATTAATCACTACACCACTCTGCACCTTCTGCACTAAACTGTCAATGCACTGCATGAGCATGCGATGGGAGGTGATACAGTATGATCGACCTGAAAACAAAAAACAATTACAATTATAACAAAAGACAAAAAAAACATTAAAATCTACCTTTTGTTTCCTACTGTTTTGTATATCTCATTATATAAATTCTTTTTATCAAAAGGCATAATAAAAAATATCTCAATTGTCTCCTTTATTTATACTCGGTTGGAAGTGTAAAAAATAATGTCTAATTAAAAACATTAATGACAATTAAAACAAAATGCACAGACTGAGTACATAGGTGTTCGGTCAGTCTAATAATCTTTAGCCTCGTATAGACCTGGCGTCATGTTTAATCCCATATGCCGGAAGTCTATTTTATCTCTTTGTATTCTATTTATACTACATAAAAACAACAACATATTAGTAAGAGATCATTTAAAAATAACGACAATTCTTTATCTGTTATCTAAATACATAATAAATATATTCTGATTAGGTCATGTCGCTCTTAGTTTTCATATAAATAAATGGTTCTCAATAAATAATACAATTATTCACCTCGTTATCATTAGTTATAAGTAGCAATTTGAGGTCATTCTTAAATGAATATTAGTTATCAATATCGATGATTACTGCCAATAAAACATCATTTGAACCATGACTTTTCACATACGTCACAGAGTTTGCCTATATTAAAAATACCTAGTATTGAACAATGAAGCACCTAGATATAAGATACATTTTATTTGCATAAAATATGTAAGAATCAGTTGGATAAAATTATTTGTATAAAATACGTAAGAATAAGTATATTTCAATGTCTTAAAATTGTTGATACCTATATCTGATCATACCTTGACACACAGTGAACCGCACAAAAACTAGATTGACAAGTTTTATATAGGGCTTTATACAAACAATAACATATATGAACACCAGTTTAATAAAAATGTTTATGTTTTGTGATCAGTGTGCAGACAATATTTAAATTATTATTAAGTATATATGTACAATATATGACGACATCCATAACATTTACATTAATATTATATATAGTATTGACTGAGTGACGCATCATAGCTGAGCGGAAACTGCTAAAGCTATGACAATCAATATTGCATAGTAGATTCATTATTTTATAGGAAACAACAGATAAGCGAATGTAATAAATGGAAAAGAGTGTGAAAGCCCGTAAAATTTGAACATAAGAGCTAACATTATTTTTTACTTTTTTTATAAAATTAAAGAATTTAATGTCGGAATTTTGGTATGGCAATTGCGTCAATTATTGGGTTCTGAAATTGTTCGCGACTTTGTTCTTTCGTCTATTTAATAAAGCGCGCTATATATGAGAAAGTACTAATATCAATTTGACATTTTAAATACTGTTAGAGATTATTACTTCAATCTCATTGAAAACATCTATATAAAAACAATAACAGACAGAAACTTTACAATAATAATATTTATATATTCAATTTAAGCTGTGTTTAATATTTTAAAGTAATAGAATGCCAAATTTTAATAAAAATATTTATTTTTAATGAATTGTACTCTACCTCCTTCATGTCACGTTGATAATAATAAATTCAGTCTCCCATAAGTATTGGATTGGATTGCAGAAAGAATTAAAGCTATGCTATTTTTTGCTAATGCTAAATTGAGAGACAGAGCTAAGTGTTGCCGAAATATAACATTTAAAATCAAATTTAATTTAATTAAATCATAACAAACCTACCTCCCGTCACTTCACACATGGCATCAATAGGTGAAGAGTCTGAAGGCACAAGGCCAGTGTCCCTCTCCACAGCAGGTGTTCCGGCCAATCTCAGCACCAACGAGAACAGTCTTTGGTCCCATCGGAAAGGCTCCCTGGTCAGCTCAGACCCAGGAATAGGGCAGTTCATTGGTAGATTAAACTGAAAGAATAAAAATGCATACACATAAAAACTTAAGAAATTTAAATTCCTCTGACCCGGGTTTTGGATCCTAAAAATAAGGGACAATCCAATAGGATCGATTGTCCGTAACACTTGTGAATAAGTGGTACTTGTAGCCTATAACCTGCTTTTGTAATTGTAAATAATAGTAATATCTTAGTCTTAATAATGTGTGCTATTTGATAAATTACATTATTCTGAAAAAAAAACTTACTCTTATCAGAAATCTACATTTTTTCGTACACTGTATATCAAAAATAAGTATTCCGTAGATAATTCTAAGCAAACCAACAAACCAGAAAATGCTATAGTACTATTATATTTAGTATACATACTTATTATTTATTGTGATCTTAATCTTATCCTAATAATAATAATATTATAAATGCGAAAGTTTGTGAGTATGGATGTTTGGACATTTTTATTTAATGTGAATAAGCAACTCACTAAAAAAGGATAGAAATAGGTAAATGTTTGCTTTAAATACTAATCAATGAAACCATTTAAATATTTGCATAGGTATTACAAGTTATTGCAATTTAGGTGGATTAGTTCGATAGTGTCGTAAATTGTATATGTTAATGCAGATAAGGTTTTTATTGACACATACACATTTAGAATAAACTAAAAAACTTAAGAGTAACTTAAGTATAACGGATGGATTGAATAAATCTCTGATAATATACTTACCACCTTCATTCGCACGTACATACTTTCATTCAAAATAATAATGAAGACTATTGAAGTAGTTGGTCCTAATATACAATAGGTTTATAATTAGAAACATCTAATAAGGCACTGGTAGCGTCGGTATGTAGATTCTAATAGAGTGAAGGTTTATTTTTTAATTGAGGATAATGTGCACCCGCCTACGCTAACGGTTTCAGCTGCCGCGGCACCAGTGGAGGATGACAAGATGAGCATGAAGTCAAGTCAGTTAGCGCATCGTGACAAATTCATCAGGATCATATCGCGTTGTTTCCAGGGGGAACCGCATGGAAGTCAACCTGACATATCATTGCTAGCAATGAGTTCGTTAGTCCACATTACTAAGAATTTCATTCCCCGCAAGTAAAGGTACAAGCAATATGTAGTACAACAAATGACGTATACGAGCCAATGTTAATTAATATAGATGATTTCCAGAGGGGACAGAATAAAAGTAGACCTAATAAAGTGCAATGGGTACAAAAATCTTTATTATTGACAATTCTACTCTCATCATCTTATAAGATACATGTGCTCAGCAGTGGGACAATATTGAGAGCTTATGGCAATTACTCTACTTATTATTTTAGTAAGTTACTAGCCTAGAGGGGAGTTTATATATATATATAGGATTCCGTACCAAAAAGTTAAAACACCGAGTGTTCTGCTATAGCGTATTATATCAAAAAGTATTAATGTATTTAATTTAATAAATAGAAGACACTTCCTCATATTATTATCATTAGCTAAGATAGCAAACTTTTAATATTTTGAATATATCTTCCAAAATGGAAGATATATTCAAAATAAGCCTAACAGGTTTTCTACGTTATGATGAAGAATTAACACACCCCTGCCTTTCAAAAACATATTCTACTAAAGTACGACTACAAATAAATTAAAAACCAATTGGATTAAAATCAATAAAATTGAATCACTTTATGTCCCGCATCCCACGTCTTATAGATATGAAACTGCTGCCACTAAAACTTTAATAAAACTTATTTATTTGGACTGCAAATATGATTCGTACTTTACTAATTTTATTTAATATACATAGATTAAATCAAGCATTTTTTTTTTTTTGGACATTAAGCAAGATATGCATTATGCTATAGTTATTGAGAAAAAGATCTAAAATGAAAAAAGAAGTCTTAAAAGATCCGTAAAAAAAATAAATCGCACATTATTTTTATAATATGAGTAACAACAGCAAGAGCAACGGTGTTAAATATTAAGCAAATAAAAATAACACAGTATAAAAATCAGATATTCTGTCCATTAATTAAGATAAACTTATTTAATACTTTGCTTACGTTGCCACAACCATATAATGAAATTTGGCTATAGCATATAATTTGACACTGCTAATTTCGAGTAAATATCAAGGGCATATACATTATATATGTGAAAGTCATATATGATACCAAGGGTAACAAAATAATTATTATATTATAACAAAAAAATATAGATTCAAACCGAGACTTTTAAAGCATTTTAAGGTGTCGGGACACGCTCTATGGTCACGTTAAATTTCTTTCAGCCTTTTACTTGTGAAATGTTACGAAACAAAGCGACCCTATCCCATTTATAGTATTCGTTTGGAAAAGTGCTACTTTTGTAACTTTTGGCGGGTATACGTTACGTAATTTGAGAAAGTAACTATTTGGAACTTATCCAGGAGGTCTAAAATAGATTTACTGAAATTTTAATATATAATATTATAATTTCAGTTCTACTACAAAACTACTAGTTCCTTAATATCAAACTCTCGACGCCTCAAGACCTACTACCTACTCGTATTAAAACTCTCGAGAGGTAACTTCCTACAATCTCATTTGATCTATTAAGGGATGTTGGTCACAATGGTTCCATCCTTTTAAAATATGTACAATCATAACTATCTAACCATTTTATCATAATATCGTAAGATTAAAGCAAAATAGTTACAGTACAACAAGTATATGTCTATTACATGTTTTGTATGAAATCAGTAGTATTTGGGATTGAAGCTACTTTTCAGATCTCTTCGAAAGTCTAAACAGTAGTAAAAGCCTAAGGCTATAATTATGCAGGACATAATTATTTATGTAAGAGTTACAAAATTTATGACTGTGTCAAAGTTTCATGCTCTATACATGTTGTATTTATATATAATAAGTAGGTAATTAAGATAACAGTATTTATATGAAAATACGCAAGCATATATCATACACTGGTAGTAAGAATATTACTTATAATATAATTAATTTCTCTGATAATTAATTCGTAAATAATGAAAGCTCTTTGAAAATCTGTTTTAGTAGGTAATCATGTGTTATGATAATTACTGAAACACATGTAAACTAGCTGTGCCCGTGACTTCTTCGGCGTTGAATACTGACCATAGAGAGCATTTTAAATTATTTAGGCTATAAGTTATAAAAAACCAAAGAAAAGTCTCAACATTCTAAATTTAAAAATGATTAATTACCATATACACTTTCATCCCCTATTTTATTTGAGATCTAGCTTCTCTAGCTTTAAAAATTACGCTATTATATACAACCTTTCATCCCCCCTTTCAATCTCTTATAATTACATTTCATTGTTCTTTTTTTTAATCAACAGCCAAAAGATAAGTTACAGGCTAACTTAAAAATGATGCAATCTTTCATCTCCCTTTCTTTCCTTACAATCCTTTTTCCCAAGTAAAAAGTAGTAGTAAGTCTATGTGTCAGTACCCTGAGAAAGGACAGTGACTTAAATGAAAGGAACTGATTCAAATGAAATTTGGTTGAAGGATAGTCTCTACTATCCATTTATCAAATTTCATTTAAATCAGTTCAGTAGTTTTGGCATGAAAGTGAGACAGACAGACAGAGTTACTTTCGCATTTATAGTATTATATAGCAAGGATATTCACATAACTTTAAAAATCCATATATTTATTCAATGATTTAGAGTTAGACCACATTCTTCATATGAGGAAAATTTCTAAGTAGAATATTAATAGGTGGCTTTAATGACAGTGGTTTAGGAAGATAAATTGTGAGCATCATACTGTCCCCTATAATAAGATATCACAAGTTTGCTTCCATTTAACAATTCCAGTTAAAAAATCATGAAGCACAACATAAAACCAATTTTAGATAAGATAACAATATGAGGAACATGCATAGTTCACAACATAAACTTTACCTAATGATATATAATATAGAATTATAATGAAATAATAATAAGAATTAAATTGGTAAATTACAAACTATACACAAATATAGCACATACTTACAAAATATAAAGCCTATGTCATCCAAATATTCCATGTCCAGGTAAATGAAATTTTGTAATCAGACATTACCTTCTACATCGAACTTACAAATTTATATCTTTATTGTATTAGTTGTATTAATTAAATATATAAAATAATAAAAAAGAATAATTATACACACATTCATGATTTATAAATCAATTATTACAATGAACTTGTTCATTTTAAGACATAATTTAACTAATTTTCTATTATTTCACAGTAATACTCACTTCTTCCTGAATGCCAGCATTGCATGAAAGTTTTCCTCCATCAGTAATAACAACTATAACAGAGGGCTCATTGTAGAAGGGACACCGGCCTTGTCCATATGTATCTATTCCAGTTTGCATGCGGTTAATATTCAAAACATCAAATGCATGCTTCAAAGCTGCTCCCATAGTTGTCAGGCCTAGGCATTGTAAATTTTTCAATTCATTTATGAATGTTGCTAAATTCTCCTTCCAGCCTGCCTGGAATCATAATGAGAAGGTGTAAGAGTAGGGTTATTTTATCAACTAATTAAATTATTTCAATAGTTACTTAGACAACTAATAAGTCACATTCATGTTTAATTGCATATAATGTAGGGCTATAAGTCATCTCACTAATGAAATTTTCTTTAGAACACAAATGTTATGAATATTATTATTAAATAATGTCATACTGATGTTTGAATTTCCCCCCCAAATCGCCATTTCGCTGTGTGTACCAGCGTGACCAATAGGAATGCGATGAGAACGCAGTCGCGAGCGCTATCGCGGAGAGCAGCAAGCTACGGTGGCGGCGGTTTGTCCTGTTTACGTCGTGCTATTTCAGTAAATTTCGCACATTTAAAAGTATGTAAATGTTCTGGATTGCAGATTACAGTGGTTTACAGGTGGACACCGCTGAACCGGCTTGGATATGTCATTATATGTTCATACAACAAGAAATCCCCCAATAACGTGTTCACTCTGATATACTAACCTTGATGTTCGCGGGTGGCTCTTCGAAAGTTAGAAGCATATACCTGTCCCCTCTGCTCTCAGGAGAACGCTGACGTACCTAGGAAATACAATTTATCAGTTGATCACACGCGATAAACAAATCGATCACAAAAACTAGGCGGTTGACGAGTCGATGACACTGCACGTACCTTTACGAACGTTTCCACAGCGCCCTTGGCTACATCGAGCAATGTTGGGCGTCCGCCCAAATAAGCTCTTTGATTCATGGAAGCAGATGTATCTATTAAAAAGACTATAATAGTCATCGTGAAAAAATCCTAAATATCCCTCTAAATACATTAAATATGCGCACGCTATTATGAACTAAGAACAAAAATGGCCGCTACATCGTAGACAGGCTCGCTGACAAACGACCGTCCGACAGCCGCTTCGACGAGCAGCTGAACAAGCTACGCCACGAAGACTCCAAAAGTACCACGTGACCTAATCATACATTCGGTTATTCTCGGCCACCAATAGTATAACGTTCGGTAAAACTCGTATTCTACCCATAATGTTACCATAATCACAGTAAGAACCACCCTGGAAAAAATATTAATTCCTGAAGTAAAAGTAAGTAACACATTAATGTCATACCCTATTGAAATTATAAATGGTTATTGTATTATATCAAACAGCAATGACATATCATTGACTGTACATTGATCATTTTTAATATTTCTTAAATTTAATAGAGATACCTTTACCTATTTTAGATTCCAATTTGTATTTATATGCTGACACTAATATTATAAACGTAATTCAGGTTATTTCAAAGCTGACGCAGTTATAATTTCAGGGTATACTGCATATTTCACTTTGGTAAATATTTCCATAAAATCATATTTTTATAATTAATCTTATTTTAAGCTTCATTGAATATGAAAGGATTATTTATAATAATGTGAAGTATTTTAATACTATACTGTTGTAATATTGTATAATTCTTTATAAAATTACTATTTTATTTATTTCTTTAAAGTAGTACTATAAATTTTAACTTTATAATAGGGAAATTATTTTAACCAGCTACACTGAAATGTTTTATCTATTATCTCTATCTATGGTTATATTAAAAAAACACATTATTAATTATATCATTTTAATTAATGAAAACAGTTTCTACGTGAGTTACTTTAATTTATGTTGAAACATATATTCTACATGCAGACATGAATTCTTTAGTTATTTTTTAAGACAATCTATATTCCAATCACAATTATATTGCGCATCGTAAAAGGGCGGCAAATTTAAAAATAGAATCATTTTTTAAGTTATGGGTTCGAAGCTTCTAAGGGCAAATGTCAAGATAAATAGGAGTTACAGGCACTTGCAACTAAGCGTTGATCTAAAAAAGTAATTACTGTCTTTGTAACAAAGTTTTATGTCTGAAACTAATTTGGACAAAAAAAAGTTACAGGTTGATTTAAGATTACGTAAACCGAAATGGTGCCTGATAAATCTATACAAATATTATAAACGTTAGTATGTATATATGTTTGTTAAATTGTGTCACGACGGTGGACATATCTTTTGTAGCAAAAAAGCAGACGAAATCGGGTAATAGTTAGTTGCGTATCAAATAGCAATTTTCGAGGGGTTTTTTAATTTGGATCAGCTAATATAATATATATATATATATATATGTAGGTAGTTCGAAATGAGTATAAGATTAAATGTCAAGAGATATAAATCCATTGCGTACATATTGATTAAATAGGAACATTTAGTTCATTGAGTTAGTTGTGGTTGAACTTATTTTTTGTACAATAATATAGTATTTAAGTAGTATTATAGTACACTACCTTAGTAGGTATAAAAAATAATAACATTAACAATTATGCTACTATATAAATAATATTAAAAATCAGCCATTTCTAAATAGAAACTGGTATCTACTGATAATCTAAGATACGTCTTAAGTGACATACCCTAGTCTGTTATTCGATAATGATGAAGTTCAAAAAATAAAACCAATATGTAAAGCCAAACAGGTTGTAAAGGATCAGTAGGTGATCCAAATTATGTTGATTCAAATTTTCGTGATTTATACAAAATAAGGTTATCCTCTGTTGACAGATTAGGTACCTACCTAATCTGTCAACAGAGGACAATTAAAACTTGAATGCATAGCATAGGATAAGTTGTCGTTTTATTGTATTAATTTACGAATAAAGAGCTTGTGGATTCCCTGCTTTCACTGAGTTGTAGACCGTTTTGTTTCGATTAATGTTCCTTTTAATTTCGTTACACCTCCCTACAGTTTTGTTCAGCTTATTCTTTGGATTTAGGCATTGCTCTTTTAATGTAATTATTAAGAAAAATCACAGGAATCAATAAAGGGCACCCAAGGATGGTTAGAGACCAAACGTAATAATGAATAACAGTATGAACTTAAAAAAGAACCTACCACACAAGCTCCTACTTATGTACTTTAAGCGATCATCGGATAGAAGAAGAATCTGTATAGAAAACATTAATAAACATCGGATTTATTAATGTTTTCTATACAGATGACATACTTTCAGTTTTTAGATTTAATAGAGTTAGTTAATAGAGTTTTATACTGAATTCCGTCACTTTGACTTTTTCTTTTGAATTAATTAATATTTGTCCTTTAATAATACTGAAAAAAAAATTTGTAAAAAAGTTTTTTCGAACACCATTATACCCCACTGAGCAAGCAATCACTACGTTTATTTTCACACGGGCCAGACTGATACAGACCATAAGATGTCAATTTTATCATTTTGACAGTACCAGCTTCACTCCTGTCAAATTTACAACGACATGTCATTTGCTAAAGATTTAAAGAAACACTGAGTATAATCTTTTAAATAATTGTACTATAATATATATTCATTAATAATACATTTTAATTTAACGTATTTCAATAGTTACAAAATGGATGAAGTACTTGAAAGATTAGAGACAACACTCATCAGTGAAGATGAAAAAAACGGTACCAAAACTAATTTCGAAAACCTATATAAATATTCTGGGAGATTGGGAAATCAAGAAGAAAGACGAAAAGAAATTTTGGAAATTCAGAAAAGGTAAACCAGAGCTGACTCTACATCAATCATATAAATCTGTTACAATTTCTATTATTTCAATGTAATTCGCAATTGTTGTGTATATTGTATTGGAAGAAACAGTTTACTATTTTGTTGACTATAATGTTTGTTTATCTTGCAATGTCCGGAGGACTATGATGTTACTACTATTATTATGATAGTCACTCCATAACAAATTCTTAAATTAACAATTCGTATTTTTATTTGGCCCATAAATAAGTCCTATCCTGGATTTAAACATTTTATAATTAATCTTTAGCTGTAAAATTAACCTCTAATATAAAATAATGAAATGTCTTTTAATTAAGTCTACATTAAATTCACAGCAATCGGAATGACAAAGTGGACAGATTTCGGGGTATTTTGGAGCTTGTAAATGCTGTGGAAGAGGAAACTATTTTTAAAACTAGTAGAGTAAGTTGCAAGTCTTTTTCTGATATCTATATTTACAGTTAGTTCTGCAGTACTTTTAGAGAACTTTGCCTAGTACAAGGACTATAAAAGATTTAATTCATACAATGCTATTGCAAAGCTTGTACTATCTTAATCTTATTAATATTATAAACACGAAAGTTTGTGAGTGGATGGATGTTTGTTACTCTTTCATACAAAAACTACTGAATGGATTTTTATGAAACTTTACTGCAATATAGCTTATACATCAGAAAAACATATAGCCTGTAATTTTTATGTGGGTTAATCTGCAGGCACAGCTAGTAAGTACATAAAACTATGTACTATTAATAAACATTTTTTTTAGTAATTATCTTTATAGTAATAATCTGACTAATTATTAAGTGGTTCATAATTTACAGGTATACTATAGGCCCAATATCTATGTTGCTGGATTTAACCAGACATCCCCGTCATACAGCAATGTTTTAATGCTATCAGAGTGGTTAATAGAGAAACCAGTTGACTTTAATGATAACTGGTATGTGACACCCTGCCCCAAAGGAATCAGAATGCTAGTTGTTGCACATCAGGTAATGTTAAAGTTTATTCCCAATTTTCTAACTATTCTTAATAAAAGATGGAAATTAAATTAAACTTCGAGATATACTCTACTTATTAAAATAGGACAACCCTGGACATAGTTATAGTATAATGTAGAACTGTACCACAACATACACTGCTTTACATGTGAAACATCTTATTTTTGAACTTTTAAACATGTACATGTATTCCTCTAACTCACCTATTTTAGCTGACCAGTAAATCGCTTTGTAAACTATATTGGATATAGAGCAGTGAAATTATATGATATGGAGGCACTATATCATAGGCCTTCAGGGTAATGAGTGGGTCATGGGTGTCACATGGTAATGTGATATCTGTGTTGCTGGTCATGTATATTGGCAACTGTTATCACTTACCATCAAGGAAGCTGTTAGCTTGTGTTACTTTTACAGTAAAAAAATCAAAAAACTTTGTATTCCATCATTTATTTTGTCACTATTACAAAACATTGGTGTCCTTATGTACAACTTTTAGTGACTGTATAAGCTCTGCTTAGTTTAGGAGTAAATAGTGTTATATGTCTATTTATTTTTCATTACATATGTTAAAATGTTAAAACCATGACCAGGTGGAAACTATGTTTGTTTTTAATGAGTGGCATAATTAGGGTCAAAGTTTTACTATATATATATTATTAAATATCTTACAAAAATAGCTCAAGAAGTAAAATAGGATTTTTTTCTTTATATACATCATGCTCTTGATGATTTATTTTCTATTAAAACAATAGAGATAAAGAATTACAAAGTTAGCTCTCTATGAATGTACTTACACCCAGACAAAGTAAAAAATACCTCTAGTTAATTTTTGGGTGTCTTCAATCCTTCATTAATTATTATAATTCTTTATTACAGGGTACAACAAAATGTTACTCAAAATATGGACAGTTTAGATATGAATTTCGGACTGAACTTCCTGGGGGTAACAGGTGTAATGCTTTTAGAAATAAATGCTGTGTTTTAGACTGTTTTTACCATGAGCCGAATAATACAATGTATATATTGGATTTACTTGCATGGAATAATCAACCTATGACTGATTGTGAAGTAAGCATCCCAAAAAACTATCTCATGCAATTTTTTATTTGTAACATTACCTTTACTTTATAAATATTACATTATTTCAGACAGAATTCAGATATTTTTGGCTGGAGACCAAACTTGCTGAGACGCCTGATCTAAATATGATAAATAAGAGAAACAAAGTTCTTTTTAGTTTGTTGCCTAAAGTTCCATGTACTCCGGATTTATTTAATAAGTGAGTTAACATATTATAAATAGTACTATACTATCACTATTTTTTTAAGAAAAATTGACAAAATAGTTGATAGATTGTACTGCTTACAAAGAAGAATATATCAGGCGGATTAAATAGTGTTGTTGTTGTTGATTTTCTATGCTTAGTTCCCCTAGATGGATTTTCTGTTTTCATCTCTTGTTTAGTGATCGTTGTATAAATAATCTTGCCATAAATACTGTTACAATTAAAAATAAACAAAGTTGTCCTTTTTATCCTCTTAACTTAGATTTTTCCTTAAAACTATATTCACAGCAAATCTAGGTAAATATATATATTTGATGATTGATAACATTCTTATATTGTATAATTGCTATGTAATAATATATAATAATCATTGTGACATTTGCAAGATATTAAGAAAATATCATTGTAAATATTATTTTTAAATTGTAACATATTTAAAATTTCCATGACCATAAATTGGAGTTATTAAACAGTTGCCAATAGTAGTTATTATTTGGATATATTACCATCAGCTGTTTTCTGCAAATAAATTAATTTCATTTGTCAGTTTTATGAACAATTACCCGGCCTTTCCTGATAATACGCCGCCGATAGATGGCTTATTGTTCTATCACAAGAGAGCTCATTATGTAGCTGGCGAAACACCATTGGTTGGTTGGCTATTTCCTTACATGGTGCAAGAAGTGTTGGGTTCTGGTATGTTCAATCTTAATAGTTCTATGAGTGTAAAGGATATTTTGTATAGAGATTTTATAGTATAAAAACAAAAACATTGCAGTCAACTGACATGTCGTCTCAGATTGTCTTGGTGTATGTATTTATGTGTTTTGATTGGAATTGTGAACTAAGGCAATGAAATCATGGTAATCAAAACAAAGTGTTACCACTATCATTGTAGTGCATATTATATGGTCTGTAGCACTGTTTGTACTATAGAGATAGTTATTATTTACAATGATCTATGTTTTGTGTATTTCTTTACTTGTTAAAATGTATTTTGTTCAAGGGTTTATTATTTGTAATACTTATTGTTTTCTACACTTTAATGATATTGTGGTTGTTCAATTCATAGGTGTTTAACATAATCAATAAAAATAATCTGGTTACATGCAGTGCAGTGGCATATGTAGTGTTTTCTATATAATATTTAATACATATTTCTGTACATCTTCCAATATTAATTTGTTATGCTTATTGTATTCCAGAAATAACAGTTAATATTAAATACATAATAGAAAAACCACTGGGTTATGTAAAACAAGCAGATTTCATAGAGAAATTTGAAGCAAAATATCAAAAGAAGAATACAAGCCGATACTTCTGTAGAAATTCTATGGATACTTCAGACAGTCATCATACTCAGGTGAATATTTTTTTCCTATAGTGTCAATGTCTTGGTTTAAAAAAAGATTTGGTGTAGACGTAAATTATATATTATAATGAAAGTCTGTTATATTTTTCATTCTTCCTATACTGTCAAAGTATTTGTCATTTACGTTACAACATTTCTTAATCCTTTTGATAGCTATTTCGGGCGTTTTAGTGTAGACACTTTATTGGGTTTCAATGAGCGCCGTGGCGGCATTATGCATATACGCCGCAACATTCTTATGAGCTCCGTGATGTCTCTTGAAGGGCACTGACACCTTTATGTGTCACGACACATGGAACGCATCACTTTTATGAGCGCTGCGACACCTAGATGTCAGCTCTATTAGATAATAGAGCTGACTATTGAATATAGATATACATATAAGTAAAATTGGAGAGTCTGTTTGTGATATTGGAGTAGTTTGTGGGTAGTCATACATATAGCACACAAAAATTTTGCTCCTCCAAATTATTTATTTAAAATTTATAATTTATTCACTATTATATGTATTAATTACTGTTAAAAGTTAGCCAGACTCCGTCCCTACTCTGAGCCTATTCTCACTTTCACTATATTGCACATCAAACACATCATCAAACACATAATCAAGTTATATATTGAAATGGACCTCTACTCAAAATTAAGCACCAATATGGAAGATATTGTCCAGCTTTTCCAATCGCGGATGGGAGATATGGAGAAAAGCCTACATCAGATGTCTAGCTCCCCTTCCAGACAACAGGATATCACTGCTTTGAACCGTGAGTACCATGACTTCAAGACGTTTATCTGGAAATCTGTCAGCTTACTAAAATCACAGATTGAACTCCTTTCCTTGGGTTTAGATCGGCACGAAACAGCTTCCAGGAGGAAGGTTCTATTGTTACATGGTGTTCCCGAGTCTCCAAATGAGAATTTAAAAGAAAGTATTGCTAAAATACTAAATGAGCAGTTAAAGGTAACGAATCAATGTTCTGCAGACATATCCGTCAGCCATCGTCTTGGTAGTAAACAAGCAAAGGCTCGGCCAATACTGGTTCGTTTTCATAATTATTCTGCTCGTAATGAAGTGTGGAGTAAAAAAACTGCATTGAAGGGCACCAGCATATCAATATCCGAATTTCTTATTAAATCTAGACATGATCTATTTGTTGAGGCTAGAAAGCATTTTGGCATTAATAAATGTTGGACATCTGAAGGAAAAGTGGTTATATTGCTACCGGATCAGTCGCGGCGTAAGATTGAACTGAAGTCAGAGTTGCATCCATTAACCACCAAGTTCCCAGTTAAAGACTCGACGCAAAGTAAACCTGCAGCAGGTACCGATAAAACCACCAAAAAAGCAGCAATGATGACCACTAGGCGCCAGGGACCGAGCAACAAATAAGAATTGCTGTGACCTTATTTGCTTCTTTAATTTTATAGGTTAAATTTCAGTTATAGTTATTAGTAATTTATTTCTTATTTTCGGCCGTTATGATTACGTGAGGCCATTTTTTTTTTGTTGTCTTATTTTTACTTATATTGTTATGTAGGTAGTATACTGATTTATTATAGAACTATTTGCCAATCCTTAAATTTATATATACTAAAACTTTGTATGAAATGTTTTAAATTGTGCTTGTCATTTACCTGAATGGAATAGATTAGAGTTATTCTGTCACCTATGCTGTTGACAGCTGTCTAAGCTGTCAGCTGTCATTATTGTCACGTCTGAGTAGGTAATCACTATGTTAATTCTTTTATGTAGTATTTATTTAATAATTTTGTAATGTTGCCTGTAATGAAAAATATCATTCAAGTACATTATTAACATGTTCCTTTTTTTATCTTGTTTCACTGTATAACAACAAACTGTAAGTTATCATTCTGATAGTGTCTCTTTGTATTTTGCATTTTAATAAGAAAAGTGTAACTCGTAGTATATTTTATTATATATTGCAATGTAGTAATATTAGGTATGTGTTTCTTCCCGGCTGGCTTGAGGTGTTATAGGGTACGGAGTTGGCCCATACTAAACTGTAGTCTTCTTTTTAAACGTTATAAAATTTTTTTTTTTTATTCATTTATTATATTTTATTTATATTATTATTTTTATATATGGATACGTCACATATTTGTAGTGATTATTCGTTTTATAATACATCCTCGGATGAATATTTTAGTGCAAATAGCGACACAGAGTCACCAAAGCTTCGAGATCAACTCTCCCTGTCTTTTAGCCGTCACAACAAATTTCTAAAAGTAGCACATATCAATGCACAAAGTATAATGGCTCATTATAACGATTTGTTAGACAGTTTTGATAACCAGTGTATAGACATTATTCTCGTATCAGAATCTTGGCTGAAACCGTCACTACCTTCAACAATGTGCTGTCTACCTGGTTACCGCCTTCTTCGAAATGACAGAATGGGCAGGGGAGGTGGAGGGGTAGCCATTTATTTGCGTCACAACATACCAAGTAACATAATAGTAAAATCCGATGCCACGGTTATTGACTCCGCGGAGTATTTATTTATTGAGGTAGTTGTGAATACTATTAAGCTCTTAATAGGTGTGTTCTACTCACCCTCTGTTCGGGTGGACTATTTTCAGCAGTTTGAATCCATCCTTGAGTCCTTTTGTCCTGTTTATGAACACAGTTTAATTCTTGGTGATTTCAATACCTGTCTTCTCAAGAACGATTCACGTGCTCATAAACTTTCCTCTATTGTTTCCTCATTAAACCTTAACTTACTTCCTCTCAAACCCACTCACTATCCCCCTAACAGCACACCAACTCTGTTAGACCTAATTATAGTCTCAAACTCTGATAAAGTCTGTAATTTCGGCCAGCTTACGGCTCCTTTCTCTTACCATGACCTTATATTTTTATCGTACAGATTACAGTCTCCCAAAATCAAACCTAAACTTCTTGACCTTCGTAATTTTAAGGGAATTGATTTGGAAATGCTAAGGAAGGACGTTGCGGGCATTGAGTGGTCCTGCGTATTAAATTGTAACTCAGTGGAGGATATGATTGCAAACTTTAACTCAATCATACTTCAAATATACAACAAGCATGCTCCTATCAGAAAAGTTAAAGTCAAGCATTTACCTGCTCCATGGTTATCCCAAAATATAAGAAATATGATGGTGAGGCGGGATAAGGCTAAACGGAAATATAAGCGTTTTCCGTCTGAAGATAATTTATTATACTATAAAAAGCTGCGGAATCGGTGTAATCGGATGTGTAGAGATGCAAAGAGACGCCATATTCATGAATCCATTCATAGCTATAATTCAGCTCAGATTTGGAGACTTCTTAAATCATTGGGTATTGGCAAATCTTCTTCTTCAACTTGTCCCTCTAATTTGGACTATAATGCGCTTAATAAGCATTTCTCCTCGCCTCCTGTCACCGTTGCTGACAGTATCAAAGCGTTAACACTTGATAGTCTTCGCCGCCAGTCTAAACCCAATTGCGAGCCTTTTTCCTTCAAAATCATTAGCCAGTGTGACGTTAAAAAGAGTATCCTTACCATTTCCTCCAAGGCAGTCGGTGATGACAATATTTGTATACAAATGATTCGACTAATAATTGACGAACTTGTGCCCATAATTACTCACATAATCAATCATTCTTTGGTCACTTGTTCTTTTCCGGCTGCCTGGAAAAATGCTCGCGTGATTCCTCTTCCTAAAACCAATAATCCTAGCTCTTTTAACGAATTTCGTCCCATTTCTATTCTACCTGTATTATCCAAAATTTTAGAAAATATTGTTCATGAACAATTATCCCTTTATCTATATAGTAATAACCTACTATCTCCTTTTCAATCTGGGTTTCGTCCTGCCCATAGCACAGTTTCGGCTTTAATTAAAGTACTAGATGACATTCACCTTGCTAAAGATAATAAACAGCTCACAATCCTCACTTTATTAGACTTCAGTAACGCCTTCAACTCTATTGACTTCGATATTTTCCTTGGCATCCTTGACTCTTTTAACGTATCTCCACTGGTTTTAGAATGGTTTGATTCATACTTGAGGGGCCGCAGGCAGTGCGTGTACCTGGATGGGAATACTTCAGATTGGTGCGAACTGACTGCCGGCGTCCCTCAAGGTGGTGTTCTCTCTCCCTTACTTTTCTCTGTCTTCATCAATTCACTGACGAAAGTGATCTCTTGCAACTTCCATCTCTATGCTGATGATCTACAACTGTACCGCAGTTTTGACCTACCATCTGTTGATAATGCTATCTCCTTGATCAATACGGAACTCGAGTGTATTTGTGGCTTTGCTAAGGCATATGGTCTGCTTGTTAATACCAAAAAATCACAATCGATTATAATTGGCAGCAGATATATGCTTAATTTATTAGATTCAATGCACATTCCTTCAATAATATACAATGGGGATATAATTTCTTACGTTAAAACAGTAAAGGATTTGGGTCTTTACATTGATAGTGACCTCTCCTGGTTTTCTCACATTAAACATGTGAGTAAGAAAATATATGGGACCATTCACTCCTTACGGCGTCTTCAGGGATTTCTTCCATTTAAAACGAAGGTCGAATTATCTCATACACTCCTTTTACCTCTCCTAGATTATGCAGATGTTTGTTTTCTTGATGCCACTGGTGAACTGCTCAACTAAATGGAACGTCTCCAAAACATGTGCATTCGGTTTGTGTTTGGTTTGCGTAAGTTTGACCATATAACTCAATACCGTAATCAGTTAAAATGGTTGCCCTTTCATTTTCGACTGAATGTTCACACTCTCAGTCTTCTGTACAACATCCTGCATAATCCTTCTGCACCTTCCTATCTCCGCGAACGTTTTAATTTTCTCTATCCGACAGAAATGAACACTCGATCTCAGAATAAATTACTCTTGCGGACTCCAGTACACTCTGGGCAGGCATATTCCAGCTCTTTTGTGGTGACGGCTATTCGATTGTGGAACTCTTTACCTCACGAAATACGTGCCAGTTCTAGTATTGAAATATTCAAATGCCGATTAAAAGCGTATTATCATTCACAATGCTGACGTATTTTTATATTTATATATTTAGGTATATATTATAATTTACATTTTAACTTATGTCTTATAATTTATTTATGTACCATTTAAGTATGTCTATATATATATATATATATATTTATGTATGTCTATTTATACTTATAGTTAATATCATTAAAACAATATTTTAATATCTCCTCTTTTCGTACACGTATGTATGACTATTCTATTTAATACACGATCCTATAACATTTTCTAGGTTTGCTGGAAGAAATCTCTTTTTAGAGATAAGCTCGCCCTTGTACATTACATTTATTCTGTATATTTTTTTCTATTATGTGTGTGTGTGTACAATAAAGAATAAAGAATATTGAAATAACCGTTTTTTACTACATGCATATGAATATTAATAGGATACATACACCAAAATAACATTTTTTACAATTTTTGTCTGTCTGCTTGTTCCTGGTAATCACTGAAATGGCTGGACCGATTTTGACGGGACTTTTTTGACAGGTAATAATGAGTAAGTTAGGCTACTTTTATTTTAGAAAAACCCTTTCATATTAGAAAAATAAAGTTAAATTCCACGCGGACGAAGTCGCGTGTACAGCTAGCATTATATATTATCTTAACTAAATCTAGAGAAAATAGAGGTTGATGTTTGACATTCAGTCCATTTCCCAAAAACATATTTTCAGTTAATGTAGTTTAATAGGGTGAGCTAATAAATATAATGAATGGGTTTAAATATTATTATTTTAATTTTAATTTAATGCAGTCTGCAACCCTTTTAATTTACCAGCTGGTTAAAGAAATGACTTACCTTAATAAAAATACTGACTAATAAAATATTTAAATTGTACAGACTTGTAGCCTGATCTGAATATAAATATAAAATAAATAAACAGTATGTAGTCCGAACAAATGAAGTATATATATATAGAGTTTTGATTTATTTCAGACTAAGTCATTAGAAACAAATTCAAATAAAAATGGCGCCAAAGAAACAGAAAATATGGAAGCTGAAGAAAATGAAATCAAAGAAAAGAAAGCGACGACTAAGTGCGAAAATATGGAATCAGATACGGTACCAATTAATCAAGTACCAGAGAAGAAGAGTTAAGAAAATATCAAATGAATTACAGGATATGCATAGTTTAGTATGAATTATGAAACTCATATATTACTCGTTATAACGAAAAAGATAAATAATTATCAGTCCTTGTTACAACTATTAATTTATGTGTATATGTGTGATTTTATTGATTTAAGTAGCACTACCTGTATTAAATAAACTGTGGAAAATTTATGTTTTAATTTGATGTTCAATTGTTTTTAGATTGGATCTGATTGTAATAGGCTAATTAGTAAATGTTTCGAAATTAAAATTATCATGTTTTTTGCACATGACTTCAATGTTTAAATTACTGACTCACTCAATCTAAATATTTAAATTGTTGTAAACAAATACATTTATATGTCTATAGGCACATTTTACAAATAAATTAACTTAAAGGTTTAATAGAACATTGTGCTATAATTAGTTTTTTATCTGAACGTTAGATCCAAAAGGTGTATCACTAGTACACTGGAAAATGTATTTTTAAAGCATGATTATAAGTATTATAATCATTGATCGGAGTAGGTGGAGCTAATTAGGATTATTGACATCAAACATTAATGTTAATATGGATAAGACGCCCCAGACCAAGAAACAGACCATTGTTTTATTTTGTTTCAATAAGTAAATTATTGTTTAAACGTGTTGCTAATTTTAATTAAGATATAATTTCAATTAAATACAAATAGTTCTTTTCGATCATGTTTCGATTTATGAGGCGTAAATAATATGTATGCCATAAATAATATGTTTTTTACAACTTAAGAATGATAATGTTAAATGATTGTTGATTCTTGTTATAAGAAATTGTTACATTAAAAATATATGTGGTCTAATGAATCAAGTATTTATATTTATTGGACTATACTTTAAACCGTCCTTATACTATGTACTTACAGGAAGTATATGTTTTCTTTCTCTCTCTGTAAAAAGAATAAAAAGGTATTTAAGCATTAGGGAGTAATCTCCCTAAATAGCTTTTTATTATTTTTCTACTTAAACGAATCCGTGGGTTTCGGATAATGATAGAATAATATTGTCCGAAACCCACTGATAATATTATTCTATCATATGGTAAGTACATAAAATAGCTCTACCTACTCGGGTCACTGACTAACTGGCTGAGAAGGCCTCTTCTGATAACTGTCTATTTGAGACTTTCTGCATTTATATTTATTATATCTCATTATTATTTTCGTTGTTCATAAAATGGTTATTAGTAAAAACTATTCTATTTTTATATGTACTGTTTTTTCTGTTGCACATTTAAGTTATGGACGCGGTCCTTTTAATCGTATCGTATCGTTGTATCAAACTATTCAATGATACCGTTATTATAAATCAATTTCCTATCATGACAGAATCATGAGTGAATTATTGGTAATACTACTAGTGCTCTCATTGATTACAATGTAATATGTCAGATAGATCTACACACAGTCTCTCCTGGGTTTTGCATTGGGTTTACTACATGTTTTCATTCTCCACTGTTTCTAGTATAACGTTAGTGCAAGTGCACAATTCCACATACATAATAAATAACTCTGGACAACACAACGCTATCTATTCCCACGGTACGCAGAGCTTATGTTTTGGATACCAGACAATTGATATGAATACTCTGATACTTTTTTTTATAAATAACGTGCAAGGAATAGAACCCGCGACCATTGGAAGTATAACGATGTGGTAAATTGCTAGATCACCCAGGCCGTAGTATAAATAATAGTAGTAAGAATTTGCTTCCACCTTTTTGGACAACAGCTCGAATGAATGAAGCACACTACTTAAGACATTATGTGAAGAATTATGGATGTTGACACCAACTACACTGACAAACAAGAAATCGAGGGCGATTTCTAAATATACTATCAATGAAAACCGATTTCAATAATCTATGAAAATGTTTTTGGAATCGGTTTTCATTGCTGGTTTATTTAGAAAGAAACATTATTTTTTTCTATAAACAACTTGCAACCAACGTGAAGCATTTTCGATGATTTCTCATTAACCGTTTTTTCTTTCCGCATTCAGTACCTTCGATAATAATGAATGAACGGAAACATAATGAATAATATTTTTTTACATTTTCTATCGTAAGTGATGACTATCAAATGGCAAAAACAATTTATTGTAAAATTGAAATATCCGAATGATATTTGAATTTTGGCAACCCAATTATTGTGAGATATTCTGATGCTGTACCAGAAATCATAATTAGCTACTGTTACACACTTACTGTTAACATTACTTAACTATACATAATTATCTAGACTAATTTGGACCTCTATGCAATAAGCAGACGGCCTTGGTGTGTAGTGGTTTAGCAAGCACACCGCCTTAAGTCGCAGGCTCGATTCTCGCACTATATAAACATTTTTATTAATGAGTACGACTGCTTGTTTTGTTACGTATGTATATATTCATAAAAAAAATTCTATCAGTTGTTTAGTATTAATCATAATACAAGCTCTGCTCAACTATTTCAGTCATATGCATATCAGCATATATGACTTCTTTTTTATTTTTAGTTTGTAATTCTTGTCAATTTTAAATCTGTTTGAATGTACCTATATTTTTTGTTTGTGAATGTGTTTATTCCCTCGTTCCTTATTATTAAAAATGTGGAATTTTTCACAAATCTTACTTTACAAATACCTACTTAACTGTTTAGTACAAACAACTGTCACCCTTTAGATATGTAGATATGCTAAGCTACAAATAGATATATAAATCTAGTCCGTATTCGATATGGATTGGCAATAAAATGTGACGTTTATTTACAAATCATAAAATGGATAAGTATTTATGCAGCAATTGGCAGGCACGGAAAAATTTAACGGAGAACTCGTAAAAATGGATAATAACTATCCTAGAGATTGCAAATCAAATAACGCGTAGCTTTCGACTTTCGATTTATTAAATATCTACTTATTGGCTGGATATTGCAAGGGTTTAATTAGGACTAACGACCAAAATTACTATACAACTGGTACTAGTAAAAAAACCAGGAGAGCAGGTGTTCGGTTTATTACTAATGCTTTCGGTATTCCACCACTGTGACTAAAGTACTGAATTTCTCTCAAAAATATTCTTATAGCACGTATTCTATGGAGATGAAGATATGAAATTCTCACCAATTCAGATTTTTTATTGCACTAAATATCTACTGGGATTATTGTAATATATTCAATTTCAGACTATATGTTAGTCAATATCAGACTTATTTTATGTACCTTATTATACCACAATATCACGTTAGAAACGTACGTTGTGTTAGAATTCTTTTATAGAGAGTATAAAGGTATTATTTTTATGCAAATAAAATATAATACTTTCCGTTTTGAGACAACCTTAGTGGTTTGATGGTTTAACATTTTAAAATCCTTTACCGGAAGTCGTCTTGCCATTTGGTTGTATTGTGTGTAAGTTTTTGTGGACAGTCTAAATAAAGTTTTTCGACACTTTAAGAAATATACTTTTGCCTACTTAAGAATTTATAATTACCTACTTTCAAATTTTTTCCTATAGTCCTTAAGATACTATTGAAGTAGTCGATATAAATAAATAACATGCTACTTGTTTTTTATAGCAATCATATAAGTACGGAATACACCACAAGACGCTTGTGTCAAATTACACTTTTTATTTCCGCAGATTTTATTATGGCAATAACGCGAAAAGGGCCGTGAATAATGTTTCTACTATACAGGATGATTTTGAAGACCTTACCATCACTCACAATACGTATGTTCATTTAGCTAATCTATGTTTTGTTTCCATTATTTATATTTGTTTCATATATGTATACATATAGCAATAACCTCCTCAACACCTCCTCCTGGTCACATTAGTCGGAACGAACACTGTATGGAGCGGCTAATTATCCAAGGTACGGTTGAGGACAGACGTCCTCGGGGTCGATCACCAACGAGATGGACTGACATTATAAGAACGGCTACACAGCAGTCCATGGTACAATATTCTCGTGCAGCCAAAAACCGTACCAGGTGGAGGCAAATTGTAAGGATCTCTTTCGCCAAGAACCACAACGATACCATATCACAAAATATACGATCATGAAAGCCACGACCACACTGACAAGAGTGAAGAAGAAATAATTTGGAAATGATGGAAACTCATGAGACATCACAATCGTAAAAAATTTGATGAAATCAAATTTAAATAAATTAATGTTAAATAAAAGTGAAGTAGTAATTACCTATGTGCGTAATGGATCTAGAAATCACATAGAGTCATATAATATTTTTTTAATTATAAAGAGCTAAAATTTGTATGTTTGTTTGTTCTGTAATTATATTACTTTATTAATTATTCTGTTATTATGTAATTTCTGGTTTTGCTCACCCGATTTAAAAATTCTTTCACTATTAGAAATGTATAATATCCCCGAGTGCTACAGCCTATATATCATTACTCTACGACCAATAGAAGTGGAGAAGCAATGAAAAACGTGTCAAAATTTTCATTTTGAGTGTTTCAGGTGCATGCGTTGAGTAAACATTAATGACGGAATTATTTTCATTTAAAAATTAAAAAAAAACGCAACAACATAGGTGTTAGGGTCCATTCACTATAATCTTTTTTATGGTAATCAAATTTCTTAGAAAATAATGCATTATTTGTAAAGCTATATTTATAAACATGATATTAATTCTTATACAAATAATTAGTATCGAACAGTTTAAAAGTATAGTAAATATTGGGCCATGCGAAGCCGGATCTACGGGTCTACTAAGATAATCGAATAATGTAAAAAAAACTAGTCTCATTGCTTATATAAATTATTTGTTAAACAATCACATACAACGACCGAATTGATATTGAAAATAACTAGCAATTAAAACTAGTCAATATTTTTGAAGCCTATTACTAGCTATAATAGCGTTAAAAAGTTATAGATTTTTTAATTAAAAAAAATCTAATATTGAATCTGAAAATCATACTGTATAAAGTGATGCTGAGAATAAGAAGGTCCTTGTTCATTGTAGCATTCATGGATGTGGAGTTAATACGGCATTTATTTTCCTCGCTACTGTAACGATCCTTTTTCGAATGGCCAAACTAGGCGTTGGAATAAAATAAGCTACTTAAGAAGTAGGTAATGCACAAAAATTTGGTACCTAATTTGTAAAACAAAATCCGCACAAAAGTTAAAATCCTCATATATAGCGTAACTGTTTATCCTATTTTCCTAAAAGCAATTTAGGTAGATAGAACAAACATTGTATTTTGCAAATAGTAACGATTTATCCTCTTAGTCGTGAACAAAAACAAACCTATTTTAACTATTACAGTGCATTGGCATTTCCCTTCAATTTAACAAAATAGCAGGCATAAGAAGTATTGTAATCATAGACAGAGGATAGTAAGAAAATATTTAATTAATAATCGAATTATTTTCATTGAAACAATTTGTTAACGCCAATTGAAATTTTTAAAGTACACGTCGACGTATTTGTTTGTTTCTTCTCGATAAAGCGGCGATAATATTATCATCTTCCCCTAATAACGTGAAATAAGAAACAATACGCGAGAATATTTCTGTTTACGAAAGAAATGTAACGAGTAAAAGGACATTTTTATGTAGCGTATACCCTACACTTCTCTGTAGGTTTAATTATGTTGTCCAACTTAATACTGTCTGAAATAAGTGGATATCTATTTAATTTATTCTTTGTTCATGGTAGTTTCTTTTTTACACAAGTCAACTGGATTTATTTTGTTGTTCAAATAGTAAACAAGCTTTTCTTATGTAAATAACTCTAGATACAATCACGTTACCACGTAAAGCCTGTGATACCACTCATGCATTTAGGTACATTCCGAAGATCTACGATGTCATGCCTTTTATGTACTTTCATGAGCTGAAAGAGGATACACAGAGGTACCTAGAAGACTCTACAGTCTATGTAACAACAGTGTAAATCGTATTTAGAATTTTGAAAACTAATTTCTTCAAAATAAAGCTATATCAGACAATAAGATAGACAGTAATGTTGAAGAATTACTTAATCGCAGAGCGATTTGTTTGGTTAATAAGTCCAAAATCATTTGAGAAATGTGTACTTCACGGTATGTGTATTGTTTATTATCATATCGTTTCAGAAACATTACATTTACATACCCCATTTGCATAAAATTGCTGTATAAAAATTAGTAACTTATATTTGTGACACTTAAATGCTTTAAAATAGAAAGATAATATGTCGCTCTTTGAGATATACCTATAGTCAGTGCCCAACTAATATAATAACGTATGTATTTGTTTTTTGGAAATTTGAATCCCATTTGTACCTATAGATAAGAATATAATTCTTGTACAGTATAAAAATAAACCAATTTTGTTACTGTTTGCATTTAGGCATATAACAATGGAACATGAGCTTATTATACTATTAAATAAGGTAGTATAAAAATAATACGTAAGGGAAAGGAAGCGACTTCAGTAGAAATACTCGCTATTACATGAAATGAATTGTGGAATTGCGCGCAAGAAATGAAATTTTGCCAACAAACACCTGAGTCTCACAAACAATGCGTAAAGATACCTGTGCCGGTGTTTAATTTTTTGTATGTACATATTAGATTATATACTAACTTTTTATATTTACATATATACTAAACATCTCTCCATCTCTATCTAATAAATAAATTGTCTTCATCGAGTGTGGGAAATACGGTAGTAGCACAGATAACATATAGTAGTAAGGTTGTAATAAGAGAGTGTGTTCTGGCCCCTATATCATTAACAACATACTATTTCATTTTTACATTACATACGGGTAATATCACAATTTACTACATAATTAATATTATATAGTAATATATAGGTATAATTAAAACCAAAATTTCATCGAGATCACTTCACAGAAAAATATCGAGATCACAAAATATAAATACAA